TCCCCTCCTTCTCCAACCCGTCCCCCCGTCCTCCCTGTCCCCCGTCCTTCCCCTCCCCCGTCCTTCCCTTTCCGTCTTTCTCTTCCCCACTCCCGTCCTCTCCCTCTCCCGTCCTCCCTGTCCCCCGTCCTCCCGCTGTCCCCCGCACTCCACTGTGTACAGACAAGAGAAGGGATTATAGATATATCGGTATCCCGCTGCAGCTATATGTCGCACGTCCTCACATGTCCTCCTTGTTTTGCTCCTGCGTTGTCGTCGTTGTCAACACTGACTATTATTATTATTATTGTTATTATTATTATTACGAGAATAAACGCGTGATGACGACGTGTGACGTGTCGCTGACGTCAATCCGTGCTGCACGCGCTAAGCATGGTCTCTTGTTTCTGCTGCGACCGAGAAACATCGGATTTAGAGACTCGCGTCGTTTGTATTATTTAATTAGTAAACTCGCTCGTTACAAATGTTAATGTCACAAATATTTATGTTCGCCGTCGCGCGCGCGTCGGTCGTCATGGTTACGCCGACGCCGACGAGTGGGAAAACAATGCGAGTGTTTACGTTGCCATGGTAATCGGCTGCTGCTGCCGTGTCATTGCAACCTTTGTGTGCGCGTGCTCGTTGCACGTGACTTGCTATTTTGTTAACCTTCGTGAGAACTGTATTTTCCTGTCTTATATGATTGTGCTGAATTTCAATAAACCGTTATCACGTATTCAACGCACGAGTGTTAATTGCCTGTGTTTAAGAACTTTGCACCTATAGTTCTCTCATCTCACCTACAACGACCCTCTCTCGTCCCTCCCTCCCTCCCTCGCCCCTTTCTCCATCCCTCCCTCCCCATACACAAGTTCGGCGCTATCACACATGGTACACCATGCACAAACCATGCGCACGCATAAAAATACTTGTCAAACTGGTGAAATTAAAGATCTTCTTCAGCCTCAAATCCACGGAAAAGCCATTAAGGGCCATATTCTCCTCTTCCCAAAAATTAATCTTTACAAATAATATTAAATAATATTAAATGTTAAGGCCAAACAATGGCACTGAAGTAACTCGTGTGGAGTCGCTATGAAAATCGGTTGCTCGCCATTCTAACTACTTTTTTATTTCGCCGGTCGCCGCCTAATGTTTAGCATGGTTTTGTGCATATGGGCAGAGGGTCTCTGACGCTAAATAGCGAATTATGAACTTATTTATCATATCGAGAAGCAATGGAGAAATTATTACAATATATATGGCTCACCTGGTGTATTTATGAAATTTAGCTTTGTTCCCCAGTGGAACAGCTACATATTTGAGCCTGTAGACAACAATTGATGTAGCATAAATATATTAACAATTTGACGAACCACAGCGTTATAGTGAGATAAACAAAGTCTGAATGAATTTAAATTATAATTATTAACGATGATGGAAACCTATGATCTAGGCGCACGCCATCTGACACGTCAATCATCATCACGTAAAGAGTTAGCAGACCTGGAAGATCGATAACCCCTGGTGTATTGAATACTTATGTAGAGGTACCTGATATGTAGTAGAATCAATGGAGCGGCGACGTGAAGTTAGGATGAGGAGGTGGTAACAGGTCAGCATGAAGAACAAGGCGGGCCGTGACAGAATGGGCGAAATGAGGAGGTAGTGGTGTATTTATTGGCAAAATGTGGACAGAGATGTGAAAGAATATGCAGGACAGTCAACAAGGTGGGAAATTAGAGGGATCTCCGGGTCCTATATGTCCAGCAAGAGCGTTTGAGTATGATTACAGCGCGTAGCCAAAGTGGAGCACTATTCAATGACAAATTTTATCGAAAGGTAAGTAAGTAAAACTTTATGTAACGACGGTAACAGCATCGTTAGGTAACAAACACAATAATTGGCGCGTGACTCTCCTATCTCCACTTCATCGCCGTCTACCCACAGCAACAGCCACGGATTAGCTATTACAATAATTAAAATATACACCAATATAGTGAACATACTTTGACTAAAAAGTTTTCGTAGCGGGGTCAGTATGAGAGCACAATGGGCATATGATAGGGCTCAAGATGTGTCTTAGACAGGATCTTTAAAAAGACAGAATGGGTAGGGGACATATCGGCTCGACGTCAGGAGTATAATTATTTTCAGTCCAGATGCACGCAGTCGCACCACGAAACAGACTAATTCGAGTAATGCATTCTCATGTGGCACGTGCAACGAAGCGCAGCACATGAGCAAACACGCTAATCATCTGCACACACACTACGCGCGTCTGGATCATCACGGTTTCATTCTGTCTAAAATCAACAACAAGAAAGAAAGCCGTCATTAGAATATAAGCACGTAGCGCTAGCTCACAGTAGAAATTATGATGTAAGTTAAAGGATGACAATCGCATGGTTCAATAAAAAAATTGACGAACAGTTCGCCCATAAAACCTAGGTCTAACGCTGCACACAAAGGTTGCATAGCTTCTGAAACAACAAGATATATTTCTCCATCACAGGCGAGTGCGGCGAGACCCATCGGTGGTAACGCAACGTATCAATTGTATACCAAGAACTCTATCAAGGCATTGCGGTCGGCAACATTCGCTTCACTCGTTCTGCGGCAGATCTGCGTTAAACAACATTGTTGATCCAATATGAATCCCGACTCACGCTGCCAGTTTCCGGCGCGCAGACACGAACAACTGACGGCATACATTATAACAAATTAATCAGGCAACTAGTCAAGAGCCAACAGAATAACATACCAAGTGCTAGGGATGTAATCAAGATCGAAGGCAGAATTGCCTGTATCCGCCAAATATACAGTAGCTACAGACTTAATAATGATCAGATTTGACCCACAACCACATACGCACCGACTGTGGTGACTTGTCCTAATATACGCAGATCCAGTATATCAACTAGTGGATTAGCTTCTAGAGATATCGCAGCAGAAAATAACAATCGACGACCTCACACTGCGACGTTAGTGACGGAAGAGAGCTTATGCGAGCGCGCCAGAGGATTGTCAACGTCAGCGTGAGAGCACGTACACACGTGTAGTTGGAGTCACATCCCCGGGATCGGCGATCTGTAGAACGCTCTACTGGTCTGGCAACGTGAGCGTAATAAGTCAATAGGTTTTGGAATCCTTCGATAGAGATTGCGATAGACTCTATATTGTTTAGCAGCACATAAACTCAACGTGACCACGTGCGCTTCCTAGACATATGATCGTAATCGTAATCAAGGACGTTGCGCTAGGTATGCCCACGAAGAAAACATAGGACTAGAAGAACATGTTGTGTCAGAAAAGGCGAACTAAACGAACAAATAAGAGCTGAAGCAAGCTGGCAGTCGGTACAGTCCAAACACTCGATAGAGATATATCTGAGGTCCCTTATATGTTTAATCGTGGCAGGGCATGTCATTTATAAACATAACTAAGCAAAGAATGCGGTGGCCCCGCTTCAAAATAGAATCCTTGGCGGCCCACCAATCGGAATCATGGGCAACTTCACGGAGTATGACCCAAGAATGTTTAGGGTTTGATGCTTGGTCAGGGAGGCTGGAGCGCGAGTACTTGCGCATAGTGTGAAGTCAGATTGCACGGGAGAAGAAACACGGGGGCGACACAGTTGTGATACGAGCTGTAGATTCGCTGGCGCGATCTACCGAGATCGGTAAGACATGGTGAAAATCGAACTCAGCTACGGCGCAGCACTTATCACGTGCAAGATAGGTCAGCGAACGAAGTGGTAGAGACAACAGAGAAACGCCCCGACAAAATCGACTGCAAAACTCAGTTGAGAGGGGAAGAGGGCGAGAACCGAGCGGAAGAGACGCATCGGGCGTACGCACCGGGGGTGGAGATGTGGACGTGCGAGCGAGCCGTGTGAGTGGGCAATACGGACACATTCGGTGAGAAGGGCAAATGGGAACGGCCAAAATGAGACACAGGGTGTGGATGAACGACGCTTGAAATTAGCAACATCCGTCTCCACAACTTCAGCGTGCTAGACGGCGGACACGCTTTAAACGGGCCACCTGCTCGCGTTTGCTCAAATGAAAGAGGCAAGCATAGTTGGCTGTATACTCTGCGCAAGGGCTGTGGGTGGACCGCTGGCGGATCGCGCATCCAATGGTTAACAATGGTCAGATGTGAGGGAGCTGCGAACAAGGACAGTGATATCAACGAACCTACGGCGCGATTATAACACACAGCTACAAAATATGCACACACACACAACATCACAACACACATCACACACTAATCATCCTATCAGCTACACTCTCACGGCCTTAAAACATGAAACACCCTCCAACATCACGACCACACACACACACAGCACCCCATCACACACATGAGACGCAACACAAAGTACATGCACGGCCCTAGTATTAACAGACGGACCGCTGGATCACTCAATGTATAGCTACAATCTTCTGATCGCTCTGAGTTCGCGCTTGAAAAAGTCATTCTTCATGCACAGTGAGCTATTAGAATATAAGATACACACACGGCGCCCGTCACGATCCTACATGGACAACCGTCTCACCCGTGTGACTGCAGATGGTGCCAGTTGCACAGCAGGCAGAGCAGTCGCCGGTCACTACGTCAGCTACCGGATCCGAAGCTGTGTATGAAAATTACCTAAACTGTGAGACCGTATAAATCCTTTCCGCACAGTGACGGAAAGAGAAAGGGTGGAGAAGGAATATGGTGGAATGGAAGAGAGAGAGAGGTGAAGGGTGCGATCTGGTTAACAATGTTAGATGTGAGGGGTGCGAATAAATGTAAGATAGCGATTATAAAACAGTACAAATATGACAACAATACACAACATCTCTTATCTCCTGTCTCTCACGAGCTATAAAACATAACAGCCTCCACTGTTCATCCCAGCCCCTCCGCCATGACGAAACAAGTAAACATTCGTCCGCCATTATGCATCCGTGGTGTAACAAGTGAGCATTCGCCCGTCACGATCACATGACAAGATTCCGTGATTTCACAGCAGCGTTGTATTTAAACTCGTATAAATTCATTCTCTCTCTCTCTCTCGCGCGCGTTTACCAAATATACAACAAAATATTGCATCGTACAACCCAAGTACAACATGAAATTATCGTCGCACTACTGTAACGCTATATAACGTGTATAACGTGCTCCTATATATCATATATATATATGCATATTACGTGTGTGGGGGGAGGGGAGCAAGACTTAAATTGGATAAACCTCACAACAAAGGGCCTATATAGACCTACTGTGAGCAGACTTGCAGTGTGCAAACATTACGAAATGTTCTCATTGAGCCAGAAATGTGCTCCGAAGTTGACTATTTTGAAAACTTACATCAGACGCAAGTTATTTGTACGAAGTGCCAGATAACGCAAAATAGTATCCATACGCCATAGCGCATGCAAATAGTTCTTGGAACGAAAACACTATATTTGTTTCCTGGTTACATAAGTAATATAGATAACGATATATGATTTAAACAAATTTAAAAATTTTGTACTGAATAAACATCGAATAATGAATTATAACTTGTTTTATCATAGAAAGGAACTGTTACTCAATCAAGCAGATCGCTCTGCTGTGTCCCGGATGTGTAAACATCACTGTGGTACTACGTTCATAAAAGAAGTAATTTCGTTTAGATTTTGAGAAGAAGAAATGTTATGAAAGTAGCAATAGAAAAGAGTTGTAGTGAATTTTTGCAACATATTCAAGCTCACAGTAGGTACATATATGCATTTTGCTGCGAGGTTGATCAACTTTCAGGTGATGTTACGAGGTTACTAAATATATATATACACAGATTATCGCAACCTCACACGTTAGCCAGTCATCACAATCATCCGTACCGCGACCACTAGCTGATATTCCATCTATCCATCCATAATCATATCTGCCCTTCCTTCATCCCAGCTCTCCCTACTATCCTGGCTTTCCTGCCACCCACACACACTGAGCCTCTTCACACACATCCAAGCTGGTCCTCTCTCTGTCCTTCTCCGCAAAGTCACAAACTTGTCCATAAGCCACACGGCTGCCTGAAGCATTCTCACGTCGTCATGGCAACCGCCCGACTTGTTCCCGTGCCGCTGTGGCAACCGAGCAAAGTATTCACGCATCGTCCTGGCAACCATGTGAAGCATTCACGCATCGTCATGCCGACCGGCCGACTCATTCTCATGTCACCGTGGCAACCGCCCGACTGATTCCCATGTTGCCGTGACGACCGTTCGCTCTAGTCATCTCGTAATTCGCTGCTGCCGATAACGAGCATTGATGAGTCATTAGCGACGACGGCCGCACGCGTTGTTAGCACGCATCGTAAACACACATCTCAGTGGCGCGGCGCGCACGCAATCACAGTGTCATCTAGTGGTGTGCTGTGAAAATAGTCACATCACTGGCACGGACCACTCCTGTGACATCGCCATCGACCTCAGCGCCATCTAGTGGCCAAAACACTGTCGCTTGGGCGCTAGGCCGAAGATTCCGCGACGTCGCTGCACGCTCGCGGTGCCCCCTGGTGGGTCAAACTAGCTGCCGATGGTCCAGGCGGCGGGGACCCACTGTGGCTCCGTCTCAATGACCTTGATCTCGCGCTGAAGGTCATCGTACGCTCGGTCGAGGTCGTAGTTTACAATGATCTTGTCGAAGTAGTGACCGTAGTTCTCCTCCATCTCCCGCGCCTCCTCTATGATCTTACGCAGATCGTCGTCCTGCCGAGAAACAATAGAACGGTGAGCGCGTGAACGTCGCGACGTGTATGATGTGGCGCTATCGCTCTCATACAGTCTCAAAAACAACAGAACATCTGTGCGCTAACCGACATGGCAGGTGGGGCTCTCAAATTTGCTCCAAACATGATACACAGATGAATCTATGATTACGATCTATGCCAATGAGTCTTGCGATAGTCAGGGTCAAAGTCAAGGTCAGGGGCAGTGTTAGGGTGAGGGTCAAGGTCAGGGTCAGGGTCAGTGTTAGGGTGAGGGTCAAGGTCAGTGTTAAGGTGAGAGTCAGTGTTAGGGTAAGAGTCAAGGTCATGGTCAGTGTTAGTGTGAGGGTCAAGGTCAGTGTTGGGGTGAGGGTGAGGGTAAAGGTTAATGTCAGGGTTAGGGTGATGGTCAAGGTCAGGGTTAAGGTCAAGGTTAGGGTTAGGGTGAGAGTCAAGGTTAGGGTCAGGGTTAGGGTCAAGGTCAGGGTGAGAGTCAAGGTTAGGGTCAGGGTTAGGGTCAAGGTTAGGGTTAGGGTTAGGTTAGACCACCTAGCAGTAGCACATCCTCACCTTGGTGCTCATGCCTAGCTTCAGCCGTGTCTGTCGCAACTTTTCGAGGCCAGGTGGCGCCACGAACACCACGTACGGCATCAGGTCCGAACTTTTCAGAATCTTTAGCGACTGAAAGAACACAAAAACAACTGAACATTTCGAAAACCACGACAATGACTCACTTGAATCGGAAAGTAATGGGAAAAATATTAAATGTTTTAGAGAATAATTTTCCACTGACTATTTTCACCCGTTGCCGATGCAGTGCTCGAAATAATTAAGCGTTGTCCGGTTGTCCGAGACAACCAGAATTTGCGCCGGACAACCTAACCAATCTGAGACATTGTCCGGTGGACAACCAAGAAACCCTATCCCTAACCCTAACACTAACTCTAAACCGACTCGGCTATCTTATATATGCGTGGTACCCAATTAATCTATGGTGTATAACCTTTTGCTTTCAATATTTTGCATCTGAACTGACAATCAATCCCAACCAACTGGTATAGGCTAGCTGGCACAATAATGTTCAGTTTCATACTTCAAATCCGAGTGTTTTCTAGCTCATCAAGAAATCATAATCGAGAATTAAATCGTGAATAATATAAAAATATGGGACCAGCTGCTATTTCCAACACTGGTATATGTCAGGTTTTCTGATTTATGAGAGGTGAATTCGATTTGGAACCAGCAAACCAGCAAGTTTCCAAAATTTTCTGGGGGAGGACCCCCATACCCCCCGCCTGTTTTTCACCCCCCCTCCTTGGAATCCTAGACCCGCCACTGAACAATTACATATCTTGGGAGCAGAGAACAATGAACAAAAATGTCGCCTTTTCGCATGGAGCCAGTAAAATATTAAGTCATCCATTATTTTGCGCAGTTCGCTGTTTTTGGCCCCCCCTTGTTAAAAAATCCTGGCTACGCCACTGTTTTTGGGTATTTTCTGATCATATTATTATGTGATTGAAAATAGGAGATTTGGAGATATTTTTTGGGACAACCAGAAATTGTTGCGGACAACCCGATTTGATGCCGGGGTTGTCCGCAGGACAACCACATTTTTTCTTCTTATTTCGAGCACTGCGATGAATAGGATTTTACAAGAATCGTTGCGTAGAGAGAATGGCATTGCGTAAACAAGTGTGCAGCTGTTTATAGCGTGTAGTATAAGAGTTTGAGCACACACTAATTCGAAATTTCAGCTACGTTTCAATTTAGTTTGAAAGTTTCACTCACTTTCTGACAGCTGTTGAATAATGAAGCAATCCCATGTGTACGTGTGAAATGATGTTGTATTCGATGCTATTGCACACATGTATATTACATGATGTACATTGTATATTGTATAATGATGGCACAGTGACATGTATATTACATGATGTACATTGTATATTGTATAATGATGGCACAACTTTCACATGTATATTATATGATGTACATTGTATATTGTATAATGATGGCACAGCTTTCACTTGTATATTATATGATGTACATTGTATATTGTATAATGATGGCACAGCGTTCACTTGTATATTACATGATGTACATTGTATATTGTATAATGATGGCAAGCTTTCACATGTATATTATATGATGTACATTGTATATTGTATAATGATGGCACAGCGTTCACATGTATATTACATGATGTATATTGTATATTGTATAATGATGGCACAGCTTTCACTTGTATATTACATGATGTACATTGTATATTGTATAATGATGGCACAGCTTTCACTTGTATATTACATGATGTACATTGTATATTGTATAATGATGGCACAGCCTTCACATGTATATTATATGATGTACATTGTATATTGTATAATGATGGCACAGCGTTCACTTGTATATTACATGATGTACATTGTATATTGTATAATGATGGCACAGCTTTCACTTGCCACGATGGTCCAGTAATGTCATGCACGATTGTGAAAAAATATTTTACTTCTAATATAGTCTCAGACCATCACTCTAATATCGCTTTTCACACCATCACTAAGCATGTCAGCCATACGTGCACAGCCCCTCCCCACCCTCCATCAGCCTGCCTCCAATCCCACCCAGCCCACCACCGCCCAGTCATTTTACAGCCCCTGTCCTGTCACTATTTCTCACACCATTCCTCCAGTGCACCGCCCTGCCCTCCTTAATGCTTCCTTTCCTACAGCCACCCTTCCCTCCCCTCCCCCCTCCTCCCTCCTACTCCCCCTCCCCCTCCCCGTCGTCATAGTTACCTCAGCCAGGACGGCGGGCGAGCCCTTTACCTGTGGCTGTAAGTTCAACACACAGATGCGGCGGTCGTTGACGACGCGACGAACCGACGCGACGCTCGTTCCGTAGTAGTTCCTCTCAAACTCCCCGTGTTCGACGAACCTCCGCGCGAGAATGTCCGCCTCGAAGGTGTGCCGCGGAACGAAGTGGTAGTGAACACCGTCGATCTCACTGTCCTTCTTAGGTCTGCTAGTGTCTGGAACAACGATACACTGATGATGGTGATTGTGGTGGTCCATCATCATCATCGTCATCGTCATCACCATCATCACCACCACCACCATCATCATCATCATCCTAATCATCATCATCATCATCACATTCATTTGATGATGATGGTGATGACGGTGATGATGATGATGGTGGAGTGTGTGAGCGAGTGGCGCACCACTGTCTATATCTTTTGGGTCTCTGTAATGTAAGGTGTATGGCGAGGGGTCTATGTAATCTAGCATTAGGGCAGGGGGTCTATGTTATGGCGGGGTGATTACGTACGGGGGATGGCGGCGGCGTAGCGACTGCTATCACTCTCCATCAGCCGCTGTCGCAGCTCATGGCGGCCGATGTTCTGTGGACCAATCAGGATGACCGGCCGCTTGCTGTGCGGACGCGGGAAGTACAGCGCTACCTCCTCATACGCCAGGATCTCGTCCGAGTCAAAGTCTGCAACAACGTGAAAACAATAGAACGTCGCATCCGAGTCAGTCTAACGATGTGAAACAATAGAACATCTTATACGAGTCAAAGTCTGCAACGACGAGAAAACAATTGAACATCTCATATGTGTCAAAGTATGTAACGATGTGAAACAACTGAACATCTCATCCGAGTCAAAGTCTGCAATGGTGTGAAACAATAGAACGTCTCATGCATTTCAATCGGCATCAAAATGAAACAATAGAACGTCTTCTACGTGTCAACGTCTTTAATGATGATGCAGCCAGTTATTATGATGACCACATAAAACAATAGAACAAATTTAAGACAATAGAACGTCATTTCAAACTCTTCCCGCAGACAATAGATTATTGTCACCATCAACTCGTTGCACAGCCAACAGAATGTCAGTAAATCATTACAAAGAGAATAGATTTTTGTACTGTGACAGCTGTGTGGCCTGTAACTCATATTCTATCAATATTCTATTATTCATAATATCAGGAGTGAATAATAATAATAATAATAATAATAATAATGATAATAATAATAATAATAATAATAATCTATTATTATTCACTTCTGATAATATCAGGAGTAAGATAATATAGGAGGAGTATGACACTCCAAAACACGGGAAATTCGTGTAGTAACACGAATGTGTGAGGACAGCAGTAATGTGGTGACACGTGGGACGTGGTAGTGACAGCGAGCAAACGACAACAACGTGCTGATTGGACTCATTCGGCCGACAGGACGTACTACTACTATTACTACTACTAGGAGTAAGATAATATAGGAGGAGTATGACACTCCAAAACACGAGAAATTCAACATTTGCTTGCCTAATTTTACCGATGATATATTACGTGCAACTGGATAAAAATTACATCTAAATTAGCGTTGGACATCCACCTCACACTCAAACTTTACTTTGTTTCCATACCTCTTCATTCTTATGGAGATATAGCTTTGAACGTCACACATGATTTATAGCATTTTACTAGGCTGGTGGCTTCGCTTGCCTGGGCTTTCAAACAGTGGCTATTAAATGTGAGGAATGGCCTTGTCTGTTGACAAGAATGCCACCAGTTGGCGGCAGGAGTAAGATAATATAGGATCCTATATTATATCATACACACTAGATATATTATCCTATATATATACACGTATATATATACACACATATATACACACTATATATATACACACATATACTATATTATCCTATATTATATAATATCCTATATTATCTTACTGCTGCCGCCAACAGGTGGCATTCTTGTCAACAGACAAGACCATTCCTCACATTTAATAGCCACTGTTTGAAAGCCCAGGCAAGCTAAGCCACCAGCCTAGTAAAACGCTATGAACCATGTGTGACGTTCCAAGCTATATCTCCATAAAAAGAAGAAGTATGAAAATAAAGTAAAGTTTGAGTGTGAGGTGGATGTCCAACGCTAATTTAGATGTAATTTTTATCGAGTTGCACGTAATATATCATCAGTAAAATTAGGCAAGCAAATGTTGAATTTCTCGTGTTTTGGAGTGTCATACTTCTCCTATATTATCTTACTCCTGATACCTCATTGGAACAGCAGTAAAGTAACAGAAGTAAAGTAAGACGAGTGTATACAGGAGAGAAATGTGTGAGTATAGTGTGAGTATATTGTGAGTATAGTGTGAGTATAGTGTGAGTATATTGTGAGTATAGTGTGAGTATAGTGTGAGTATATATTGTGAGTAGGGTGTGAGTACGTGTATGGTGATGAGGAGGGGGGTGCTAGTTGCTTACCTTCATTGAAGTTTGCATTGTACATGGATTTCTTCTTCTTCTTTGCATGCTTCTTCGCACACAGCATTTTGTCTGCAACGAGAAATACAAGGCTTGTAGGTTAAGCCGGGTTTACACTACCAACTTTATTTTAGCGAATTGGCGAGTTGGACCAATTTCGCAAATTCGACAACTCTGAGTGCCCGAAAATAGAACATGTTCTAATCTGCCAACTAGTTGCTATCGATCGGTTTGTCGCGCAACTTTTGCGTTTACACTGCCGATTGTCGGTTGTATAGTTCTGTAGTGGGGGAGTTGGTCCATTTCGCCATTCGCCAACACAAAGTTGGTAGTGTAAACCCAGCTTTAGCCACACACCCTGAAGAAATTCCCTCCCTCACACTGTTAGAGAGTTCTCTGCCCCTTCAGTATAGACAAACTAGAGTAGTTTAACTACTGCCCAAATGTTCAGACTACAGTCTATAGTGAAACGAATGGTGATATAAAACCTACAGCTATATGCATATAACGATAGGCCCCCTACTGTATACGCCATATGTTTCGCGTATAGATATTTTCGCGAATTCAGACTTGACAGGCAATTTCGCGAGTGGTTAAATTTTGAGGTCGGTGAATTATGAAATATTCGGTATTAATAGGTATGTGTTAGTCGCGTGTTGTTATTTTCGAGGTCGGGGACGCGTTCGCGAAATTCGCGAATATTTAAACCACCGCGATTATACAGCGTATACAGTATACTATGCACATACTACTACGGAACGCGACGCTTACTTTTCTTCTTGTCCTTGGGGTTGTCGAGGTCACCGGCTATCGTCTGTCGCATCGCCTCTCTCCTGCGATGAAAGGCGGCCATGTTAGTTTACACAGCGGCCAATTACATCTCACCATCCAGCACAGATGACGTAGCTTAATTAATCTCATTCACGTTGGAAATTATCAATAGATGTTTACGTCATAACAAGTCAAGTTAGTTAGTGAAAAATTAGTTCTTAATTAGAAAAAGAATATATTAAAAATCTTATTTCAGTTACAAGACTTCTATTCTTAGAATAACTTCTCTGGCTGAAATTACGAAAAATATTTAAAATTGCATACAGATAGATAGAGATAGAGAGAGAGAGAGAGAGAGAGAGAGAGAGAGAGAGAGAGAGAGAGAGTGTGTGTGTGTGTGTGTGTGTGTGTGTGCGCGCGTGCGCGTGTGCGTGTGTGCGCGCGTGTGTGCGTGTGTGCGTGTGTGCGTGTGTGTGTGTGGTGTGTGTATGGCAGTGGGGGGCGGTGGTGGGGAGGGGATGACATCACGTACTGCTGTGTGAAGCTGCGGCTGGGTATGAGTCCTGCCAGCGGCTGGTCCTCCTCCCCCTCCCTGTACGCCTGCCACCAGTTACTGTCCTCCTGGTTGATGACGTGTAGGATGTCTCCCTTCTGGAAGCCGATGCCGAGCTCGCGACACGGGATGTAGAGGTCATCCTCAGGGTCGTAGTTGAAGTGAGCCTTCACGTGCATCTGCAGTGGTGCCATCGTGTGGCAGATTAGTAAAGTTCTCACCGACACACTCCGTAGTCATTCGTAACTATATCTGTGCCCCGTTATAGCCAAATGAGTCGGAAGTCGCACATATAGATTTTACGCTGTGGTTTATATATTTTTAACTATATAGGCATGAAATTTTTGTCTTTGTGATTTCAACTGAAATAGATAGTTTAGAATGTTTTCTATTGGAAAGCTGGGTGAAATATACATATAATACCTTTAAACAAAATAATTTTGCCATTTTGTATAGAATATATCAATATAATGAAGTTGGACTCGATTTTCTTCAATTTCATCTGAATTCCAAGGGTTAATTAAATAACTTAAAATATCCATAACTTTTTTTCCCCATAATTTTCAACATTTTTTGACCAATAGGAAGATAAAAGACAGCAGAACATCACCATATGGTAATCTGGAAATTGAAAAATTGCTCCAAGTGACACATTTGACTATAACTGGTCACATATACATATCACATATATATATACATACACACATATGTGTGAGACCACTAAAAACAGACGTGATAATTTCTATGTGTGGATTTCTGGGTTTTAAAACGTTTGATTTAGAATTTGGACTTTACTTTGGACTCTAGTTAAGACTTTAGGACCAGACTTAGACTTTACCTTTTACTTTATAGTTTAGCTTTACTTTAGACATTAGATTTATTACTCAAGACTTTAGCTTTACTTTAGACCTTATACTTATTTTAAACTTTAGATTTGAACTTTGGGGCTGCTTCATATGCTTTGATTTTTTATTTCCCTCCCTCATAGAAGCTGGATCATGAAAGAGGAGGTATGCTGCTTCACTCACCATGGCTTCACGGTTGACGTGAGGGAGTTGTGATGACTCAGAGCTCGGTTTGATGAGGAATGTCAACTGACCTGTCAACGTCGCCTGTAACGCAGATGACAAATACGTGTCACCAACGATGACAGCGATGACAATAATGTAACACAGATGACAATGATGACAAAAATTACAACAATGACAATGATGTAATACAGGTGACAACGCGTAACCAAAGATGACAACAATGTGATACAAATGACAACAATGTGACACATATGACAATAATGTGTCACCAGCGATGACAACAATGTGACACATATGACAATAATGTGTCACCAGCGAGGACAACAATGTGACACAAATGACAACAATGTGACACAGATGACAATGTGTCACCAGCGATGACAACAATGTGACACAGATGACAATAACGTTCCAGCGATGACAACAATGTGACACAGATGACAATAACGTTTCACCAGCGATGACAAAGTGACACCTACTGTAGAGCGTTACAGGTAAATCACTAACGAACTAACTAACAGCATGTCCACAACACTGCTAACACTTTAATCATCATAACACAAGACCAGGGGGTGGTCCTACACCCTTAACATCACACATCAACAACCGACACCAAGGTATAGAGACGCCGTGACATCGCGCGCGATGCGTGCGGCGTTGGTTGCCGTGGCGACGACCTACCATGATGTCGACGACCTCGTTGACGGACTTTCCTCTCATGTCGATGCCGTTGATCTCTAACACCTCGTCTCCCTCGTGGATCAACCCTGCCGGGAAAACACAGGAGCCATCCCGTCAGTACATACACATACACATACATGCACACACGCACTAATGCAAGCACGCACGCACATACACCACCTATGCTGCCTATTGTGGCAATGATGTCAATTTCAATGCCAGAGCTAAAACAATGGTGGGGGCCAAACTATCGTTTTGACTACCATAATTTATACAATAAAAATATTTTAATACGAACATCTAGATAATCTATACTGAAGCATTAAATCTTATCGATCTTTCTCATCGGAAAATTTCATCTAGGAATAACTTTTCCTGGTAGTCATACTGCATAATAATCTAAACCTACAACCTAGCTTAACACACCATGCCCTGCTGTGACCCATTCACTATAATCAGCGTTCTCACTGCTACTGTTCGCGGAACATCGTCGGGGAACCACGTGAACATACCGGACTTCTCTGCTGCTCCTCCCTTCACAATCCTGCCAACGATCACCGAACTTCCCTCGTTCTTCACCGTCGCCCCCTGCAGGAGAGAAACAGAAGCTTTCACGTATATATACGGCAGGAGACAAGCAAACACTGATCAACACAAACAGGTAAACGAGCAACAACCAGCATGGAACGATGCGGACACTGTCTTCATCCACCAGGGGGCAGCAAGGGTCAACTCGTTCATCCACCAGGGGGCAGCAGTGGTCAGATTTTTCATTTAACAAGGGGCAGCATTAATCAGATTATATTACTCACCAGAGGGCGCACCTCTTAGCGACTACTCACTCACCAGAGGTTCACTTGTTTTCTCGAGGCGGACAATGCGGATGTTCTCATGTCCATCCACGTAGTCAGCCGCGCGCTCAACATAGTTGTTGTACTCCGGAGTCACCGGCGGCACCTGCTGGCAAAAAAATCATTAATATATGGCTCTACTCACAATCTACCTAATAAACTAATTATTAACTACACTAAACCCTATATATATATATATATATATATAATTTTTATATGTATTTAGCAAAGCATAATACACCTAAAGTATCTGTCAATTTATTTCTCAACATAAAATACCGTGTAAGTAAAAAATGTATTATATTACATCACTGACGTCTTACATGTAAATGAGTATATAAATGAACATATAGCAACAGGCAACTAAGAAGCAAACTTAGATTGTATCATGTGTAGCGTGACATTTCTTAAACACTTGCCTGGATCGATATGCATTATTCACATGAAATAATTCCTAACACATCTATGAATTTACATAAGTTATATTCGTATTCACATAACAAATAATCTAGCACGTAACAAATGTGTTATTTTATATGACTATAACTGATATGTACATGTAAATAAGTATGCAAATGAACGCATAACAACATGCGTACGAAACAGACAAACATTGATTGTGTCCAAGATCTTGGAGTAATCATTCTGAATGATTACTCTAAGCTAAGATGTAGATTTGTACTGTATCACTCAGAAATTTTATTATTTTAACTGCTCAACACTATTGCATTTATCAGATATTTTTCTCCATGAAAAAGACTCTTCAGTACATGTATTTGTAGTTGAATTAAATGCAATAAAGCTTTAATAATAAAAATAAAAGTGTCATGTTTAGCGTGAATATGTTGTTCATTACTTGCCTGGCTGCAGAGTGAGAGCTTGTCGTGAGAGAACATCAGACCTTGGAACGTCGGATTTGAGAGGATCTTCTGAAGTTCACGGGTGTTGGAGTTCTGCACTTCATTCGTCATCTTCAGGACCTGGTGGAACGTAATGTGACAGGGAACAACATGATGATGAACAACATGATGGTGAACAACATGATGATGAACAACATGGTGATGAACAACATGGTGATGAACAACATGATGATGAACAACATAATGATGAACAACATGATGATGAACAACATGATGATAAACAACATGATGATGAACAACATGATGATGAACAACATGATGATGAACAACATGGTGATGAACAACATGGTGATGAACAACATGATGATGAACAACATGATGATGAACAACATGATGATGAACAACATTATGATGAGTATAATAACACGATAATCTTAAATAACATGACGTGAATTATCAAGAAGGCATTATATCCTTTGGCATGTCTATATTTCACCTCCCCCTCTCCCCTACCCTTCCTCCTCCCCCACCTCCCCCTCTCCCCACCCGTCCTCCTCCTCCTGTCCCCCTCTCCCCAACCGTCCTCCTCCCCCTCCCCTCCTTCTCCTCCCCGCATCCCCTTTACCTCCTGTGTGAGTGACTCAGCCTCCGTGGTGGCAGGCGTGCGTTGCTTGTGCTTCGACAGGATCGCGACCACCTGGTTGTGAAGGCCGATGGCCTTCTGGAACTCAACGTTGCGGAACAACCGGGCGAGGACGGAGAGTTCTTCGCGATGTTCCGAGTGTTCGAGCCGGTGCTGGATGTAGGAGAGCGAGCCCATCAACTCTATCATAGCTGCGCGGAGAGATAACGAGAGACGGAGGATGAAGATACTGCTGCCGTAACCACGGCAACGGCAACGCGTACGTGTGTGTGCGTGCGTGTGCGTGTGTGTGTGTGCGCGCGCGTGTACGTGTGCGTGCGTGTGCGTGTGCGTGTGCGTGTACGTGTGCGTGAGCGTGTGTGTGTGCGCGCGCGCGTTTACGTGTGTGTGTGTGTGCGTGCGTGCGTGTGTGTGTGGGTATGTGTGTGTGTGTGTGCGCGCGCATGTGTGTATATATGACGCATCACTTCTAGAATCATATAAAAACAGAGCTGCTTTATTGATATAAGAATTGCACTTTGTCGATTACGATAACGATTGTGAAACGACAAAAAAAAAGTTTTCCGATATGGATCAGGTGACTATTATCACGCACCCACGTACATGTTTACTACAAATAGTTAACAACTGCTGGTAACAGATGGCGCCACGTGACCATAATCTTTGCATGGTTACATGCGCGTATGTTAGGCTGTAGGTTTCTGACGTCACGGTATTTCAAAACTGGCGGCAGCATGGGGAGTGGCGTAGCGAGGATTTTTTAACAGGTGGGGCGCAAAAACAGCTAACTGCGCTAAATAGTGGATGACTTAATATTTTGTTGGTTCCTCCACTTCCCTCTCCACACCCTACGCTCCCCCACCTCTCAGCTCTCCAATCTTTGTTTTGGGTGCCATGCAAAAAGCGACATTTTTGTTCGTTGTTCTCTGCTCCCAAGATATGTAACTGTAGGGTTACAATAATAACATGTTTTTTTTATTATAATCATATATATATATACTTACGTATGGGTCGCCGCGGGGGTGGGCGGGGCTGGGGGAGGGGGTTAACTTACGTATGGGTCGTCGCGGGGGTGGGTGGGGCTGGGGGGAGGGGATTACTTACGTATCGGTCGTCGCGGGGGAGTGGTCCCCACAATGTCCATCGGGTCGAATCCATCAGAACCGTCCTCCTCCTCATAACCAATGTTCTCAATCCCAGACACCGGAGTACTGCGCGAGAGAAACACACCATGTCACCACCGACACAGGGAACGAGGTTTGTCTCTCACTCTCAAACTCACTGCCCCTCGCTCGCGCTCTCTATCTTTCTATCTTTCTCGCCCGAACACCCCGCCGTGCCATCTCTATCTCGCGCTCTCTCTCTCTCTCTCTCCTCTCTCTCTCTGCTCTCGCTCTCTCTCTCTCTCTCTCTCTCTCTCTCTCTCGCCTCCTCTCTCTCTCTCTCTCGCTCTCCGCTCTCTCTCTCTCTCTCGCGGTCTCTCTCTATCTCTCTCTCTATCACTCTCTATCTCTCTCTGCCTCTCCTTTCTGTCTCCCTCTCCAATCTCCTTCTCCACGCCTCTCTCTCCATCGCTCACCATAAATGTCTAGCATACACACGCTAACAAGCTACAACCACTGCTTGTTACGCCCACAGTATTTACTAGATGATATTCTCTCTCTAACCAGAGAACCAGCACTTCCAGGCCAGCCAGTCTGGCCAGCCAGTCTAGCCAGTCAGCCAGTCTATCTAGTGGGGTTCATTAATAAATCAGTTTACCGCGCGTAAATCTACTTTGGACATGTTATAACAAAATTGTATTATTAACATTATTTATATCAGTTTTTAATTGTCAGGGTCGTCAGCCAGCCGACACCTTCACAGTCAGCCAGCCAGCGCAAGTCAACCCAGTCAAGCGTCATGCTCAGCCATAACCAGTCAGCCAAGTCAGCCAGCCAACAGTCATGCCAGTCAGTCCAGCGCAGCTCAGTCAGCTCACCACAACCAGTCAGGCCAGTCTAGCCACGGCCAACAGATCAGGGCAGCCAACCAGCCAGCACGCCAGCCAGGTCCAGTCAGGCCAGCCAGCCAGCAGTAGTCAGCCAGCAGTCAGCCAGCACAGTCACCAGCCAGACAGCCAGCCAGCCAGTCAGTCAGCAGCCCAACCATCGCACTGATTCACAGCCAAGTCAGCCAGCCAGCCATGTCAGTCAGCCAGGCAGTCAACCAGTCGCCAGCCAGCAGTCAGCCGCAGCAGCGCCCATCGAGCAAGTACCAGCCGCGCTGCCAGTCAGCAGTCCCAGCCAGGCCACCAGTCAGCCAGCCAGCAGCTAGTCCCCAGCCAGTAGCCAGACCAGCCAGCAACCAGCAAGGCCAAGTCAGCAGCCAAGCACAGCCAGTCGGCAGCCAGGCAGTCAACCAGTCAGTCAGCCAGCCACGGCCAGGCAAGCCAGTCAGCCAGCAGCCCAGACAACAGTCAGTCAGTCAGTCAGTCAGGCAGCCCAGTCAATACAGCCAGCCAGCCAGCCAGCCAGCCAAGCAGCCAGCCAGCCAGACAGCCAGCAGCCAGCCGGGACGCCCCGGCAGCCACGCAGCCAGCCAGGATCAGTCAGGTCAGTCAGTCACAGTCAGCCAGTCAGCCAGTCAACAGTCAGCCAGCCAGTCAAAGCAGGCCCAGTCAGTCAGTCAGCCAGCAGCAGCGCAGCAGCAGTCAACCAGTCAGGCCAGCCAGTCAGGCCAGCCAGTCAGTTCATCACGCCAGCCCAGCCAGGCCAGCCAGGCCAGTCGACAGGTCAAGCAGTCAACGCAGCTCAGCGCGGCAGCTCAGCTGCCAGTCAGTCCAGTCAGGCAGCCAGCCAGCCCAGCCAGTCCAGCCAGCCAGTCAGCCCGCCAGCACAGTCAACATCGGCCAGTCAACCAAGTCAGCCAGCCCACACCAGAGCCAGCCAGTCAGCCAGTCACGCCAGTCAGCACAGCGCCAGCCGACAGCCAAGTCGGCAGCCAGCCAGTCGGCAGCCAGCCAGGCAGAGGCAGCCAATCAGCCAACTCAGCCCAGCTCTATCGCCCACAGTATCTTACTAGATGATATTCTCTCTTCTAACAAGAACAGCCTTTCAGGTCCCAAGCCAGTCTGCCAGCCAGGTCAGCCAGGTCAGCCGTCCTATCTAGGGGCGTTCTACATATCCAGTTACCATGCGTAAATTCTCTATCCTCTCGGACATTGTATAAAAAATTGTATTAATTAACATTATTATATTAGATCCTGGTTCTCTCTACAGGGAACGCCATCAGCAGCACGTTTATCTAAGGTCCTGTAATATGAATCAGTTAATTTAATCAGGCTGTAAATCTACTTATATATATCTATATGTAGTAATATGTAAAATATAGTATATATATATGTATTGATATTATATATATACACACACATATACAACAAGTTTCTTGCCTGTCGACCTAGAGCTTATCCTTTTACTGACCAGCATAAACAGCCCTGCAATAACGCTTAGCTAATAACCCTGCAATGCTAACCTCCACACATCAACGCTCCACACCTACTAATTAACATTAATATAAAATTCAATCACACTAGTTTTCGTAAACTATCTGAATTAATTGTTTGTAACTTTTCTAACCTAATGGATTAATGACATATACCAGCGTATCGCCAAACTGCACTGCTAACCTACACAGTCACACTTCTAATTACGTCAATTAGTCTACTAAGATTAGCTTATTCAATCTCAATCTTTAATTACACTATTTTTGTAAACTAATTACAGCTATTCCTATCTAATACAATTAATCATTACCAACTGCTGGGTTTCGATTACTCGTTGTACTCGTCACAATTGACTATATAAATTGCATCGTTCTAAGGCTAAACACGAACTACGCTGATCACTCATCTAGGCGACTCTCGCTCGTTAATCACTCATTGCTATCAGAGCCTTCAGCTCTCCGAGCCTCGTAAGAGTTACCGCAGGAACTCAGCTGCCTCTCATGCCGGTCCTCTGCCTGCCATTCCTCTTCCGCAGATCCTCTCTGGTACATCCGGATCCTCTCCAGCTGATCCACAC